TGATTGTGTTTATCCTAGACTGTGGGAAAAGTGTATATTCCTGTTTCCTTTAAATTTCATACAAAACCTGACGTTTACTTTTATAATTTCCCATATTTTCCATTCCATTAATCATTATTGTTGAAATATGTCAGGTCTTGGCACATCCTCCTTTGTTTTCATACGATTGTACAGATTGCAGTGTCAGTATATGACCTGTTAGTTGAAAAATAAGCATGTTTAGGCTCTGGTACCTAATAGTACATTGAAATCTAGCTGCAGAATATATCGCATTAAGCCAAAAAGGGAAGGGATTTAACTTGCTGCTACTAAATGGTTTGCAACGATTTCTTATTCTTATGTAGCAGGTTGCAGGGAGCATTTTGTTACTTCATAGTTATTATCTTCTAAAATGTAAAAGTCCTGAATGTCACTTACGAATGTTTTATACCAATCCTTGTAAAATATTGTATATGCTTCACATGAAATGGCATATCCTGTATGTATTTATCTCTATTAAAATGTAAAGATTATTTGTTTATGTATATAAAAAAGCTCTTTAAATTAAGTCTTGACTTACACTCAGTGGATAGCTATGAAAGAAAGGTACAATAGGATGAGTCAGTAGCGGTACAATTTCTGTTTAAGCTGAACGAAGTTACCCGGACTTTTCTCATATTATAAACAAGAGATAGGTGGGCCTACTTCCTTAGTAATTTTGAAATTAACTTAAGTGAAAGGGTTACTGTTCATGGAAATGTTTTAAAAGTATATTGTAAAATATAATTGTTGTCTAACATATCTCTGTGCCACATATATTTTACACGTGCAGTAATCTTTTTTGCACTGAAGGAGGAAAAGACTCCCAAGAAGCAATAATGCTTTGTATCTTTCCCGAATTGAGATGATAGATAATATGAATTTTGTATAGACATTACAGCTAGTTTGGGGGTTAGATCAGGTTGAAAATATCCCCCTTATCTAACTCAGTAATTAGCTAGATGCTGGCAGCTTGCTCTAAGGTAAGTCAGTGTAGAAGGAGGGGTGCGTGGGATGGGGGGTTTTTAAGGGGATTGGAGGACTAGTTAGGTACACAAAGGGGTTGGGGGAGTCAGGGGCCACTATTAGAATCCGCAGGGGGGTATTGGGGAAATTGGAGGGCTAGCGGGGTCCTGGGGGGGCAGGTAGAGGGACTGGTTGGATTGTCAGGGTGGTGTAATGGGAGAGACTTTCTAATCTCATCAAACTCTCCAGCTTCCCCTCCTCCCCTCTCTAGTGCCACAGAACTGCATCAATCCTGCAAACCACTTTCAGGGCCAATTTTACTGGTGTTAACCAGTCCTGGGAGCCCAATTGAAGTAAGTTAAGATGGGAGAGGGTTGGGCAGATTTGGGGGGCTAGCAGCTTTGTGACAGGGGCCTCAGCAGGATTGGGGCAGCTGGTGGTATGTGGGGGGGATTAGCCGCATCAAGGGCTCTTTCCTCCGCAAGCAGTGGCTATTTTTAGCCCCCCTGACACCTCCCTCCTGCACTCCCAGACGAATAAGAACCCTGACAAAACCAACCCCCTGATCCTGCCCACACCTTCTTCCACAGCAGCTTATTTCCATTAGTTCCTGGCTCTAGTGAATACCAGTAAAGCCAGCACTGGGAGTAGTTTGTAGGATTTGGGGAGGTTGGCAGGCTCGAGGGGGCTGGCTGGTCCTCAATGGGGTTGTTCATCTGGGGTTGGGGGAGCTGCTAGCGAGCAAAAAATAGACGATTGTGGGGGTAGGGGAGGGAGGGAGGAAGCAAAAAAAAGTTCAGCCCTGGGGCGGGGCCACTGTCTAGGCTTTCCCAGCCCCAGGGCTACACTCTGAAAGTGTACAGAAGTTCACTTAGATCAATCTACCCATACCCGATCTAACCGAGTGCATCTTTGAGATATAGTTAAGTAAAATCGGTTGGTCCTTTTTGACTGATCTAACCTTCCTGGCACTTCTTTACAGTTTTCCCCTTTATCATAGAATCATAGAAGTAGGGTTGGAGGGACCTTGTAGATCTTCAAGTCCAACCCCCTGCCTGGGCAGGAGAAAACTGGGCTCAAATGACTTCAGCCAGGTAGGCATCAAGCCGCTTCTTAAAGACCCCCAGGGTAGGAGCCAGCACCACTTCCCTTGGAAGTTGGTTCCAGA